CAAGACTAATTTGATGACTTTCACTCCAGGAAGATAGATGTTCTTTTCCACCTTCTTCCCCCTACTGACAACCAAAAACCCTAGACATTGTAGATAAAACAATGATAAGAAGACTGAACTTTGCAGAGAAGAAGACAGACTGGCTAGGGACCATGGGATTCAAAGGACAACATGGCGGTGAGTGCCCTAGGCACTTTTGCCTCATATACGTCAGACTTGAAGCTGGTGAAGCTGACAACCCAGAAATGCTAATAGGCACCGAAAGGGGCGGGGGTGGGTGCTTAAAAAAGCTTGCTCTCCCTAGGTAAAGGACCAGGGAAGGGGCAGTCTAGCAAAACAGAAAATTTTGAGACAATAAATGTCCACTCCAGACAAACAGCACAGAAAAAAATTGTGTTCCCCACCTTCCCCTACAACAGCAAAGGCCAAGTAGGAAGCCTAGACTTCCACCCTCACCAGGCTGTAATGAGTCACCCCAATACCCCCACTGTGGGGTACCAGAGAAGGCCATGTAGGGATCTAGGACTTTCATGCTTGTTGGCCAGTAATGAACACCCTGCACCACCACAGTATCAGAGGACATCACATGTGGAGCCTGGACCCCCACCTGGAAGTAATGAGGCACCCTGCCCCTTCCCCTTGGGTGGTGTCAGAGGACATTGAGTGGAGACTCAGGATTTTCATCCTCACCCAACAGCAATAAGGCTAACCTCAGCTTGGTTTTATTGGAGACCACATGGGGAGATGGACCTTCCAACACAGCATTAATTGGGAGCAGCCCTGCAAGGGTTAAAGGAAGCCAGGAGGGAAACCTGGACTTCTGCCTCCACCTAGCAGAAATAAGCCAGTGCCTCATTGCCGTGCCAGAGCCCTGGCTAAAACTTTCTTTTGAGGTGTCTTTTTGGGGGAGTAACATCAAAATGACAACTCATTCTCCTTATATATTCATATTGTCTTACTGTTTCTTCTTACAAGCGACTATAATAGCTTCCTGACATATATTTTTTCCTCCAGTTTAGCCTCCAAACTGATGCTACAGTGATCCTTCTAAAACAGACCTCTGTTCATGTCACCCTTGATTAACCTGTTTTTGAGATTCCCAGATGCTTACAGGATAAAAGCTAAACCCTTAACACAAAAAGCAAAGACCTTCCCAATTGCAGCCTAAGCTCTAGCCTCATGATCCATCCCTGAAAATGTCGGGCTTGCCCACGTGTCTGTGCTCACTCCATTTCCTCCAATTGGAATGCCTTTCTCTCTCCATCCACCTATTAAATCCTGACTGTGCTCACAGTTGGCAGTCCTACATCACCTGCTCCGTGGAAGCTTTCCATATCACCTATGGCAAAATCATCCCCAAAGTAATCATGTACATAATTATTGTAACTTGAAACAAACGTTTTTATAGGACTTGTTATTATGTAGCTATCTCTCAGGCATTACAGAACCCCTTTTAGGGAAAACCGTATTAATCCTCTACCCAGACAGACAAAACCTCCCACAAATAAAAGACCAATTACCAATATCAGGCAATAAAGAGGGAGATTACTATAAACCCTACAAACATTAAAATGATAACCAGAAAATACTATGTCCGTTAATTTAACAACATACATAAAATGAAAACAAATCCTTGAAAAATGAAAACTGCCAGAAATCACTTAAGAAAAGGACTTATCAAGGGGATCACTTCATAAAGTATATGAATGTCTAACGTCTACACTGTACACCTGAAACTAATATAAAATAATATTGAACGCCAACTGTAATTTTAACAAATAGTCACAGGATATAATGTACAACAAAGGGAATATAGTCAATAATATTCTAATAACTATGGACAGTGTCAGATGGGTAACAGACGTATTGGGGTGATCATTTTGTGAGGGACATAAATATCTAACCACTATGTTGTTTTGTACACCTGAAACTAATAATTAAAAAAGACATATAACTTGAATATTCCTATTCATACTAAAGAAATTAAATTTGTACTTCAAAATCTTCCCACAACAAAAAATAAAATAAAATTCCAAGCTCAGTTGGCTTCACAGGAAAATTTAAGCAAACGTTTAATAAATAAATAGTACTAATTGAACACAAATTTTTCCAGATTATAAAAAAGGAGAAACATCTCACAACTCATTTTATGAGGCCAGCATTACCCAGATACCAAAACCAAACAGAAGTAGTACATGAAAAGAACACTACAGACTAATATCCGTAATGAAAATAGTTTAAACCCTCAACAAAATATTAGCAAATCAAATCCAGCAATATATTAAAAGAATAATATGCCATGATCAAATGGATTTTATCCCAAGTAGGTAAGACTAAACACTCAAAAATTTATCAGTATAATTCATTTCAACACTCTAAACAAGAAAAAAATCATATCATCTGCTCAATAGATGCAAAACAGCATTTGACAGAATTCAACATCCTTTTTGATAAAAACTCTCAACAAACTGAAATAAAAGGGAAGTTTATTCAATATAATAAAGAGCCTCTACAGAAACCTACACCTAAGTACTAAGTAATAGTGAAAAACAAAGCTTTTCCACTGAGCTCAGGATCAAGGCAAAGATACCCACTTCCATCACTCAAACTGATAATATAGTGTAATCAGTCAGGAAAAAAAATAATAGACATAGATATCAAAAAGGAAGAAATAAAACTGTCATTTTTCTCACAGATTACATTGTTGTCTATATAGAAAATACCAAAATAGCTACAAAAAAATCTATTAGGACTAATCAGTGATAATACAAGGTTATTATACAAAAATCAGTATTATTTCTATATACTAGCAAGTAGCAATCAGAAATTATAAATTATGAAAGTCTTATTTACAATAGTATTCAAAAAAATACTTAAGTATAAATCTAACAAAATACATAGGTGACCTATATGCTAGAAACTACAAAACTGATGAAAAAATTTAAGGAATAAATAAATAAGTGATACACCATGTTCATGGATTGAAAAACACAATATTATTAGTATGTCATTCTTTCCAAACTAGTCTATGAATTCAACACAATTCCAATCAAATTCCCCACAAAAATTTTTATAAAAATCAATAAGCTTATTCTGAAAATTATATGGAAAAGCAAACAAACTAGCATGGCCAAAACATTCTTTAAAATATAATAAAGTTAGAGGGCTCACACTACCTGATTTCAAGACTAATTATAAAGATATAGTGATCAAGACAGTGATCACTATTGGAGAAAGAATACAAATATAGATTAATGGGAAAATATAGAGTTCAGAAACAGACCCATACATATATAGATAATAGGTTTCTGATAATGATGTCCAAGCATCTAATAGAGAAAGGACAGTCATTTCAACAAATGGTGTAGGGGTGGTTGAACATCTATATGGGATGTGGGAGAAACCTCAATCCATATCTTGCATTATATAAAAAATTACCTGAAAATGAATCATAGCTCTAAATGTAAAACCCATAACTTTAAAATTTCTGGAATAAGCCATAGGAAAAATATCCCTGGGGTCCTGGGTTACACAAAGATTTCTTAGATACAATACCAAAAGCACAATTCATAAAAGAAAAACTATACCTAACATTGTGCTTGATGTTAAAGATACAGAAATGAATCTGTAACGTGGCCCCTACCTTCTGGCTACAATGTATTAATAGTGAATAAACATCTCCTGAATAAATAAACACAACTGTTTTACTGCTATTAGATTATTACAATTACAAAAATTAACAAAAGCAAGTGTTAAACATAGTTCAACTTTAGCAAGAATTTTCTAAAATAGGAATAGAAATTTCAAATCAAATCTAAGAAATCCTATTGGTTGCTCAGATATTTCTAGACTTATCTCTACAGATAATTTTAAAACATTTGAAATTGTTCTTATTTAGTTTATTAGTTTCAGAAAGAACATCAGCCTACCTTGTTTTCACCAATTTATTCTAGCATTTAGTGTTACTTTAATTTGGGTAAGAGTATCAAGGAAGCACTATAGAAAAAATATGAAATTGTTTCCTCATTTTCCAAGACTTCATATATCTGCATATAACATTTCCTTAAAAAGATAAAGCTAAGAGCAATCATGAATATAGATGAAGAGATAATGAAGTATTCCAGAAATGTCTGCTCCCCGGAAGAAAAAGAGAATTACTTCACCTTTATATTACATAAAAAATCCAATCGTCTCCATGAGCTATGTATGTATTACAACAACAAATCACATATACACACCAAACACCTTTCTCTGCATATCATGTACCTCTCTATCCCTCAGCCGGATGGAATGTCCTGATTTAGGCTTAAAGTATTAGAAGTATGAAAAATGTGTGCCAAAACATACTACAGCTGCTTTTACAAAGCTAATTACAGTTTCACCATATTCATCATACATTTATTGAAGGCCCATTATATGCTCAGTTATGACAGGATAAAGCTTTATAGGCAGTTTGTCTTAAATATGTCCTTTCCGTTCAAGGCTAAAGAAAACCAAGCTATTCTCATTTCAAAGATTTCTATCTGCTGTCATCTCACATCATGTCTCAGTGAAACACTGTGAGAAGTGTTCTTGAAGTGTTATCAACTAAAAATTTTGCAACAAGGATGGCTTTTTGCACAGGAATTTCACACTGAATAATATAGTAACATCTAGAGATTCCTAACCTAGTGGGGGAAAAAAGAACAATTTAAAAGATATTTTTTAAAAGAATGACATATGCACAAGGGGCTTCTCAAACAGAACCCACAGATTCATTTTCACCATTTCACTTGCTCAGAACTATTGTTTTGGAATATAGAGGCCACAAACATGGATTTTCCAAAGTGTGATATATTGAAAATATCCCTACAGATTACATCTCTCAGTTAGAAGCCAGTGTATGTAAAGGTATAAGAGAGAGAAAATAAAATTCATATGACAACTAAAACAAATCGAAATAAAAGGATTAGAAATGTCCTTTGGAAGAAGGCAGAGGAAATGGTGACTGGCTAGCTTACCTTGCTTTTCTCCATTAACATTTTCTAAAATACCAGAGAGCTGGCTCTCAAAGCCACGTTGAAGGCCACTTCTTTGCTTTTCAAGTTGATATTCTTCCTCAGCAATAGAAGAAAGCACATGAGGTGGCTTTGGGTCATCAAGGGTCTGATTGGGCCACTGGGGCACTACGGACTGTGAGTCCTTTGCATGTTGGCTAAGTCTAGGGCTTGAACTTTGAGCAGAGTCCTGCAAATCACTATTACAACAGGAGAAGTGATCCACTTCAAGAAACAAGGAATGTGTGTCCTCTTGACTCTGATCATTGCTTGGTTCTTCATCTTCAAAGTAAGTTTCCTGAATCTGAATATCATCTAAGTCCTGGTCTAGCTTGTCACTCAATGTAGAGTCTTGTCTGCTTACGTTAACCAGCGAGGCAGATAACACACCTCCTGCTTGCTGGAGAGCTTCGTATGCCCGAGATATCCAGGAAGACAGAGGCTGGAAGAAGTTCTGAGCATCCTGAGATGCCATGGCCAACACCATGGCCAGCTATCTGACGTCTAACAGTCCAGGCGTTCAGGTCCTTCGGTACTCTGGATTTAATATGAACTATAGAACAAGCATGATGAGAAATTAAATTGAAGATCTCTTAATGGCTGTGAATATTTCACTCTCAAAACTTCTCAGCTGAAACAGAGGAAAGAAATACTTACACCTGTTAAAGTTACAACCTCAGACCCATCACCAAATGCCTAAAATCAGTGTCAAACAGCAATTAGGGACAAAAAGAGATCATCACTGAAATCTTAAGGCAGCTAAATAATAATGACTGTGAAAGTTGAAACATAAATGACTACAATGCCTAATCACCTCCACAGACATGTGCAAAAACTTCCATTACTTTGTTTACGTGAACTGAGAGAAGTCATCCCCATAGACCAAACCTAACAAAGTGACAAGAGTAAACGAATCTTCATTAAAAGGCAATTGGATATGACATTTCAAAATACAAGAAAGGTTGGATGCTTCCTCTACAAACCTGCAGATCTCAGAGAGCAGGCTAATAAGCATCTCTACTTCACAACACACAGATTTATCCTTGCAAAGGAAGTGTGTGCCTGGAATTCAAAAGCTTTTAACAAATCTTAAAGTAGGATTTTATATTTTCATGCAATTTCTAGAAATTATATCTATTCTTGGGGAGCAAACAATCACTGAAAAACTGATGACGGCAAGTGGATTATGCAGCTTACTGGAGACATGTCCCTAGCATGTCCTTGCCTTTGTCTAGATTCCAACCTCTCCAAGGCAGCCCTCCACAACCTATGAGACTCGTGAGAGACACTTCTTCCCACCGGATGCACCACCTGAAGGAGGCAGCTAGAGGACATCAACAGAGCAACAGGGCACAATGAAGGATCAAGAGCTAAAGATCTACATTTTTACATATACACATGCATGCAAACATATATGTATATATACATATGCATATGTGTATTATGTGCGTATATAGGTATATATCTCATTGCCTTTACACTGCTCATCAACAGCTCAAGATAAATATTATAAATGACAGCAGAGCCTAAAGTCACTGCTTGTACTTAATTATCCCATCTCTTAGCAACAGCTTCCTTCTGACCAAATCTATCAGCAATCCTGTAAGTTTAGCACTCTTGACCGCAGGCCACTGCATTTGATATGATTGCCGACATTCTCCTAAAAATGTCTCTGTAGCTTTTGTGATAACCATTCATGCATGCATTGATTCATTCAGTAAACAAATATTGATTAAGTAACTATTAAGTGCTGGCACCATGCCAGGTGTATAAGGTAACCCTGAGGCCTCTGCCCCCATGGAGCCTAAATTCCAGTTAAAGGAAAGCTGAACTCTTTGCACTTGCCCCTCATGCTGAATAATTTATGTGTCTGTCTTTCAGGCTCTTCCTTGTCTTCCCGCCAGATACTTATCTGTAACCACACATTGTCCTCTGGTTTCTCCCCCTCCCCCTTTATTCTCATCAGCTGACACAGTGCTAGTGGGGTCCTAAAGGCCTCCTGCTGGGAGTCAACTCTTTAATTCCTGAATCACTGGGTGTGGGGAGGTCTAGGGTGCGCACTGAGACAATCGGACCTCAGATCAGTGGCTCTTTATTAACCAGCTTGGAACTCTCTCCGTTTTCATGGCCCGCAGAGCCCTACCTTTCATCCTGACTGAATGTCCGGCTGTGCATGAGCTGTCCCCAGTCAGACTGCCCCACAGTGAGGAAGCAGCCGTTCCTCGCCACTCACTGCCATAAAGCCACACTAACACACTCAGCATTTTCCAAGGTGGCTGCTCTTTCCTGACTTCTGTCTACTTTGCCAGGGATGCCTTCTCTCCCTAGCCGGCCTGGTAAACACTTATTCATTCTGTACAATGAAACACCTATGTCAACTCTTCATCTGCAATCAAGGGTGTGGCTTCAAAGGCTTTGATATAAGGTTTTGCTTGGTGTGGTAACTATTTGTCACTCTTCTTATCCTAGTGAACTATGAGACTGTAAGTGCTTAGACTGTGTTTATACTTCAAACTCCAGGACTCATAGGGCAGGGACTCTATAAATGTTTGTTGAATGAATGAATGAATGAATGAATGAATGAATGAATGAATGAGTGAATGAATGTTATTAATGAAAAGTTTTAAAGCCAAATAGCCCTTATTCTTCCATTTTTCTTCATCTGTAAAGTGAAGTTAACTAATTAGATGACCTCTCACAGTTCCTTTCTGCTCTGAAACCCAAGAATTTATCAGTGTGGGCCAGAAAAGCAATGAAATATTGAAGCTGGATATATTTAGCAGTAAGTTGCCTTTTCAGGGATTGGTTCTGTACTTTTGTCAATAACCACTGTCAGATGATCTCAGAGTGACTGGAAAGAGGCCAAATCTCAGTCTGTGTATGAAATAATATCCAGTTGTTATATTCCAAATGCTGAAAAAGGAAGGGCACCTACAGCTAGAACCTGAAAAACAATCTAGTGAGCAACACTGGAGACCTTCCATTTTCGATTAAAGCAGCCTAAAGCCAAAAGGGCTATGCGCTGGCAGAGTAACCATGGAGATACTTTTGCTGCTTGGGTGAAATTTAACTTGATTGGCACAGCATGCCAAGGGTATTACCAGGTATATACCTGGTAACTTGGTTCTTTGGGGGTTTTCTTACCACTGAGAAGACAAAGTAGCTTCTGGTATAATAATAATAATAATAATAATAATAATAATAATAATAATAATAACAACATGAGAAAAAATAGACAAGATAATACAGTCCAGGTCCATGGATTAAAAGGAAAAATACATATGAGGTCTGTGGTAACTGAGAAGGCTTAGTATTTGAATTAAAATAGTTCATGATACTTTATTACTATGAGAAGTGAAAACAAAAGTGTGTGTGTGTGTGTGTGTGTGTGTGTGTGTGTGTGTACTTTTTTAACATACAAGCTCCTACCACACACATATCCAGGGAAGGTCTACCCTCTCCAAGTACTAAATAAACTAGCAATCTAATAAAGAATTAGTGATAAATACAGATGGAAGGAAAGCCATTGATGTATTCCTAGGGGCTATATTTCTTTAAATTTTGTTTTAATTAGAATTATATTTTAGTTATAAAAGTATTTGATTTAATTAAGTTTATTTTAAATATAGGAAATGACTAAACAGAAAACATTAAAGCATTGTGTTTCTGTAGGGGGGGGAAAACAATCAAATTCCTGAGCCATATGCTTTATCACATATTTTGATCATTCTCACCAAGGATAATTGTAAACAGAAGTGTTCCATCCCCCGGAAAATAATGTGCATGGCCCTTCAAAGGCTGTTAGTTAAATCTTTCTGCCCTCATTTTCTATCTGATGACAGATGCTTGAAGGGAGGGGGAGAGGTATGACCTATGAAGAAATACCAGCTTCTAGGAGCTATGCCTTTAAAAATCTGTTATTTTGGTGGAAACTAAAGTAGAAGCCTGTATGCCTTTGTGATTTTTAAAGGATTATCAGCTCCAGGAGAGAGTCAGACAAATTCTGGGAGAAAATAAGATGTTCCCAATAATATGGTCCACAGGTAACCAAGCCCCAAATCAAAATCTTATACAAGTTCATCTACTAAAGTCGTGTTCATCTTAGCCTTTTTTGAAGTTACCTTGGAAAAATCTTCTCTTTTCATTTTCTACCAAGATCTGTAGGGCAGCCATAGAAAAAGTGAAGAATACAAGGTTTATTTACATACTATAAAAATGTACACTTGAAACCTATGTAATTTTACTAACCAATGTCACCCCAACAAACTTAATAAAAATTTTAAAAATTAAAAAATAAATAAAATATCTTCTTGCAGCCATCAGTTACCTTTCTTGTGTCATCTGTTAGATGTGTTTTATTTATTATTGACTTCCTAGAATAGTTGTGAGGTGAATTAAGTCCATAATTTTTATGACAATTATCACGCCTTTCGGAGAAAGGCATTTTGCATTACCTATTATGAATAAGGTTTAGAAAGATGAATAATGCATGGAGTCCAAATAAGAACTACAAAATGGGCTGCAATCCATCTTTAACATGATTCAAAAGAGTCATGTGTTTTCCTTTAAGAGCAAATGTGTTATGTGGATAGGAATATGTGCCATTGAGATGACATATCTTTTGTAGCATTTGCCCAAAATGTGTTTTAAATGCTGGAATCTTAACAAATATAAAAGTGGACTACTGAGGACTCTTTATGTCAACAACATGGACACAATACAGCTATATTGTCACTGCTGGGGCACAGGCAATTCAGGAGGCCCTTTACCACTGGGCTTCCGTGCGGAAGGTAATGTAAAATGGAAAGGTGAAGCTGTATAATCAAAATACACTGTTATTGGTGGACACTGAGAAAAATAAGACAGTATGAAGAACAGAAATAGCAATGCTTCGGAATCACACAAAACAAGGCTCAGTGTTGGACTGCCCCTCAGCTATGCCACAGCATAGGGCACATCATGTTACCTGGGGCACCAAAACGTCTTCATCTACAAAACAGGGAGTGACAGCTCCTGTGTTGCAATTCACTATGGAAACTGTTCATACATTACACAATGTTTCTAAAGCACCTAGATAGAGCCCAGTCCAAAACAGTCACTCAATGTCAGTTATTATTACTAAACCAAAATTTGCAACATTTTAAAAGGCAAAAATATATTAAAGTCTCATCATTTTTTCCGTAATGTGCTAAGTGCATAAAAATGATAATATCATTATAGCTAACATTTGCCAGACACTGTATACCAGTGGTATGCAATTCTTTTCAACAACTTTATATGAATACTCTGTGAAAGATATTAATTTAGCCTTCTCATTTTACAGTTGAAAAAACTGAGGCTCAGAAAGGGTAAATGACTTGCCCTAGATTCATACCTATAATGAGTAAAGCTGGTATTCCAATTCTCCTTTGCTGAATTCCAAATTCTTGCTTTAACTGCTATTCCAAATCTTCACAAAATGCCAATAATACAATGAAGACACTAGAAATCAAAAAAGTGAAGGTATTTTTCTAATAAGTGGCCAATGTGGGGTTCAAAGCCAGGTGTTTCTGA